TCATCCTTCTCTGGCCACTTAGAATACAGGGAAGAGGCCAAGGCTCTCTCTTAGCATATGGCCTCATCCCTATGTTGCCTTGACCCCAACCCCTTTATCACCTAGTGATGGCTGTCCCCACTAACTCTTATTCATGTTCCTGCTTTCACTCTATGTCCCATTGCCATCCACTCTCCACAGAGCAGCTGGAGTCATTACTTAACACAAATCAGATCACATCATACTGCTTAAAACACTCCAGAAGCTTCCTGTCAAACTTAGAACAAAACAGCAAAGCTCTGTGGGAACGGCTCACGCCCACTTCTTGCTCCTTCTGCCCAGATGCCTTCATCTGTTCCCTGAATAGGCCCAGCTGCCTCAGGGCCTTTGTGCTTGCTGTTCCCTCTGCCTGAAACATTTTTCCAGCCCAGCTCTTCTGGGGTCCAGCTCCTGCTGGTGTGCAGGTCTCAGCTGACAGAGGTCCTCCCTGACCACCAGTCACGCTCTATCACACTACTCTGTTTTAAATCATCACAGAGCCCTACAAAGGCTGACATCACTTTACATTTATTCATGTGTATGTTGTCATTCTCCTCCTACCCTTAGAAAATAATCTCCAGGGAGCAAGGACTTTGTCTTGTCCACTGTTTGTAAGCACTAGAACAGGGTCTGCACATGGTGGCCACTCCGTTATCTGCAGAACGAATGAGCGAATGAATGCCACAATCTTCTCAAAGATGATAAAGAAAACTGCCCAAGTGCCCATCATTCAGCAGTGGCCCTCCCTAACCCTCTCCTCCCACCTTCACTCAGGAATAAGTCCCCTCAGAAGCTCAAAGGACTCTTTCACCTGACTGTCCAAGCCAAGACCAAGTTCCCAGCTTGCTGCAAAGTAAGAGCAATTTCAAATGGAAATGTCCTCCCGACAGCCCAGTGCTGCAGGGTCCTGGCACATCCCCCACCCCACCCCCACTCTGCCAGCTGAGGTGCTCCTCTGGGACTGCCACAGTTGCTAGGAAATGCTCTCCAAGGAGCAGCTGGCATTAACCCTTCAGTAGCCAGGGGCAGCAGCAGTCTGCTCTGTGGCAGAGGCCCTGGACCTTTCCACGGGAAAGAGATGGAGCTCTTACCCTTCTCCATGGTCCCACACACCTGGAAGATTCACAGCAGTTGTGGGGTTGAGGGGTGGAAGGAGGAAACAGACTGCTGGCCCCAGTTCCCCCAGGCAGAAGCCACAAAACACAACCCCACCTGCCTAACAGCTGAGAGCAAGACATTCCAGGGTCCCTGTGTCCATTATGGGAGCTCTGATGGCGTAGTGCCTAAGGCCTTTGACTGCTAACCAGAGGGCTGGCGGTTCAAACCCACCAGCCACTCCTGGGAAGGAAGCTTGGGCAATCTACTTCCATAGTGGTACCGCTCGGAAACCCAAGGAGGGGTCGCTATGGGTCGGATCCGACTCAACGGCAGTGAGTTTTTGAGTTTGTGTCCATTACTCACATAGGTCTCTAGTCCAGGTACTATGGAGCCCCACCACCACACCACTGTTCTTGGGACCCTTCAGTAGTTAATTCACATCCTTCAAATCAGTTCCACACACATGATGGAATGGGAAAAAAAATGACCTTACCTTAAGTCCTGACTTCCTTACTTATTAACCAAACTCCCACTTATTAATTGGGCACATTAACCTCCTTTCCTCCGAAGGAAGGTTGAGCAATCTACTTCCATAATGATACTGCCTCAAAAACCCAAGGAGGGGTCGCTATGAGTCGGATCCAACTCGACGGCATGTAACAACAACAACCACCTCCTTTATTCCACTCAGCTTTCAAATGCCACTGCAAATGCCCTCATCAAAGTTACCAATGACCTCCATGTTGCCAAATCTGAGTCCACTTCTTTGACCACTTTGTATCTTACAGACCTCTCAACCGTTACCAAGGAGCTCTGGTGGCATAGCGGATAAGGCATTTGGCTGCTAACCAGAAGGTCAGCGGTTCAAACCCGGCGGCTGCTCTGCAGAAGGAAGATGGGGCAATCTTCTTCCATGAAGATTTACAGCCCCAGAAACCCAATTTGGGTCTCTGTGAGTCAAAATCGACTCAATGGCAGTGAGTTTGGTTTGCTTAGTCACTCACTACTGCTCCACCCAATGTCCAGCCCTCTATCCTGTTATTTCTTCCAAGAATTAAGTATCACTTCCTGAAATCATATTTATTTGATTATTCCTTCTTGCTTTCCGGTTCCCTTACATAATAAGGTAATCTCAAGAGAGAAATTCCTTTGTCTGTCTTGTTTACTACAATAACGCTAGGGTTAAAACAGTGACAGGTACATAGAGGTTATTTGCGGATGTTGCTGTTGTTACTGTTAGGTGCTGTTGGGTTGGCTCTGACTTGTAGAGACCCTACATGTAGGACAGAACCACACACTGCCTGGTTGTGCACCATCCTCACAACGCTTGCCATACTTGAGCCCTTCGCTGCTGATGATAAAAGAGCTGAAGAGAAGACTTCAAAGGCCAGCTCGAGAAGACAGAGTGAAGTATTATAATGAAAGGACCTGGAGTTAGTAAACTAAACGGGAAGCACACGTTCAGCATTTCTCAAGCTGATGGAACCAAAGAAACAATTCAAGCCTTGAGTTGTGGTATTGAAGGATTCTATGGGCAAAATACTGAATGATGATATTGAGGATGAGTTCCAGCAAAACAAAGGTAAAAAACAAAAAGGGAGACAGAATATCTTGGAGGCAGCGTCTCTTAACTCTGGAGGGCAGTAAAGGGAAGGCCCGAGATAATAGTTACACAGCAACTAGTTTAGGGAGGAATAAGAGTCTAGGTGGATTTCTGCCAAAAAAGGCTCCACACATTTGAGAGTAACATTGAGGACTGGAAGATACATTACTCTTTGGTCAGTAAGGAAAAAAAATGGTCAATTAGAAACTCCAGGAGAAACTAAAAATTATTTTAAAAAAGTTTTGGACCCCACACGAAACAATGTAATACGTGGCACAATTTAAAATACAGATAGTCCCCTGAGGTATGACATGTTCGAGCTACAGTGGACTACACTTATGACTATCTGTTTCGGGGGTTTTATTTTATATATCTTATCATCAGTAATAAGTGCATACAATGATGCAGTATATAATCTGCTCGTGTTATCATTTTCACATGTTCACTTGCAGATGCCCAATTTTATGATTTACTGTTCAATTCATTGCCATATACCAGGCTATGGGCTGGATGACAATGAAGTTGGTGTCAGAATTGAGAGTTCTGATGGATAGAAAGTTGGGCAGTGCTTGACTCTAATGAGCTCTGGTGGCATAGCGCCTGAGGTATCTGACTGCTAACCAGAAAGTTGGTGGTTCAAGCCCACCAGCCATTCCATGGAAGGAAGACTGGGCAATCTACTTCCGTAAAGATTTAATGCTTCGGAAACCCAATGGAGGTCACTGTGAGTCAGAACTGACTTGATGGCAGTGGGTTTGGTTTGGTTTGGTTTGGTTTGACTCTAACGACATAAAAGAATTGAACTGAACATGCACCATTATGACTCCAATTTCATTGTTACCACACTGATGCTGACATCATCATTGTAGACCAGGTCTACAGTGTGATCTTATTCAGTGATTCATACCACAAGGAGCATCGGTTGTTAATTTGAAGCTGCTTGTTCAAGTTTTTCTCTAACTGTAACACTTGCATTGTTTATAGCCCCAACAATATGTCCAGCAAAAGAGGTCATGCCACTGGAAGTTCCAACGCAAAAAAGAAGATGAGGAAGGTCCTAGACATAGATATAAAGGTGAAGATTATGAAGATCATTAATGACAAGAAAGGTGGCAAAACAACACGTGAAGAAGGACTGTCTTGTTCAACCAATGTGAAAATCGTCCACATGGCAAGAACACGGAACCTCATTATTTCCAATGTAGAACAGGTCACACATCACGAATGAAGGGGATTTGACAGACCCGGACTTAATGGATTTTGAAGAGGAAAGAAATGCTGAAGAAGAAAAAAATAATGAGGAAGAGGAAGGAGGAAAAAATTTTATAGTGAAAAGATTAAGTTTTTTCTCAACTAAATTAGAAGCTTCAGTTGCTTGAAAACATGGACCAAATACTGATTGCTTTTCTAAAGTTGAGAGATTCAGGAAGCCATGAAATATTAACATGAAATATATGAAGAAAAGGACCATTCAGACAACTCTCACTAATTTTCTGACTAGAAACACCATCCCCATTCCCAGGGATAATCTAGAACCTTCCACAAGTGGAATTATTACTGCAAACGACAAAAGGCCAATGTTGCGCAGCTCTCCATCACTGGAGTACATTTCATTGGAGTACATTTTTATGATTGTGTATTCTTTTATGAATGTATACATTAAAATGTATCGGTAAGTTTATGTGTAATATTTCCAACCCCAAAGACAGATAAAGATCAGATTGATAAAGCTACTGATAATAAAAGGCAATGATAATGAAAACTTAAAAAAAAAAAAAAAAAAGAGGTATTCAACTTACATCAAAATCAAATTATGAGGGAGTTTTCAGAATGGAACCCCGTCCTGAGTGAGTAGAAAGGGCAATGCCTGCATACTACTTGGCTCTGAGAATAAAAGTGCTATCTAATGATAACTGTTAATATCTATTAAAAAATTATGTGCCAAGCAAGGCTTTAAGAGTTTTGCATCTAATAATATTTAATCCTCACAACTCTCTGAGACACATAGTCTCATTATTCCCACTTTACAAATGAGGAAGATGAGGCTTTAGACATTAAGCAAGTTCTCGGAGGTCATATGACTAGTGGAAGAGCTGGGTTCACACCCCAGAGGTCCACATCCCAGAGCCAGGCCTAAACGCTAAGCCATCTCACCTTCAGGCCCTGGGCCTTCTTTCTGAGAAACTAGGATACCGCGTGCACACACATTAACAGACATGTAGTCTTGGGAGCCAGGGTGCAAAGCCCCAGAGCTGGTCCAGGCTGCATAGCAGGGCCTTACCTTCCTGCAGTCTCTGCAGAACACTGATGAGCTGCCCAGGAGGCCCAGCACCTCCCCACAGAGTAGACACTGGGAGAGGCCATTCCCCATCACGTTCTGCCTCATGGTCTCCAGCCGCTCCACCAGCCGCCTGCAGTACAGGATACGGAAATCAGAAGGAATGGACTTCCTGTCTTCAATTCTAACCACTTCCCAGGTATGGCCACCATGAGGCCCGGCCCCAGAATTATATGTGGTAATGTGCTATGTGCTGTCCCTTCACCTGGGACAATATTCACTGCCCACCCCTTCTCCTGGCTAACTCCCATTCATTCATTTACTTATCAACGATTAATTGAGAACCTAATATACGCCAGAGACTGCAGTAGTAGTAGGAGCTGGGAATATTGTAAAAACAAGTGAGAGACAGACATGGTCCCTGCTCAAGAAACTCCATAAATAAGTAAATAAGCAAAACAATTTCAGATAGAAACACCATGAAATACAAATAAGTAGGGGGAGGGGAGAGAGACTATAGAAGGAGAGGCATCTGAGATGCTGATCAGGGAAAGGTTCTCTGTGAACATGTGAACTGAGAGGAGAAGGAGGTGAAGAGCCAATGGGAAAAGCATGCCGGGCAGAGGGAACAGCAAGCACGAAGGCTTGGAGGTGAGAAAGGGGCTGGCACATTGGAGAACAGCAAGGAGGTCATTGTGGCTACTACCCTGAGAACAAGAGGGGAAACAAGTATAAGATGAGGCTGGAGGGAGAGGCAGGGCCAGATGACAGGGGTTTTGCAGGTCACAGAATGAAGTGTGCATTTTTTTCTAAGATCAATGTGAAACCACATTGAAGAGTTTTAAGCAGGGAAGTGATTTGATCTGAGTCCTATTTTAAAAATCTCACTCTGGCTTCTGTGGAAGCTGGGATTACAGGGGGGAGTCTGGAGATGGGGAGGTCAGGAAGAGGTGGTGACCATGGCCCAGGGAAGAAGGCTGAAACCAGGATGGACTGCATTTCAGAGGCAGCATCAATGGGTTTGAGGTGGGAGGAGATGAGAGAAAGACAGTGATCCAGGGTACCTAGAAGCTTTTGGTTTGAGCACCTGGGCAAATGGAGAAGTTGTACCTATTGGGTCTCTGCTAAGTCTGAGATCAGTGCTAATCTCCAGGGTCCCACAGCCCTTCATCACAGTGTGACCCCCACCACAGTACAACCACCATGAAATTGGTGGCCACTTCTCTTTAGCTGGGCACTGTATCCTCAGAGCCCAGTGGGCACTTAGTGAAGTTTCTTGAATGAACTCAGGACAAAGCATGGGTAACATGATCTCCTCTAATTGTCACAACCCTCAAGTGAGGAGGGCGCTATTTCCCCATTTTAAAGATAAGAAGACTGAGGCTCAGAGATGTAAAGGCACTTGCCAGGGTCTCACCACTTCTAAAAGGTGGAGACAGGATCCACAACACACAGTGTTGTCTGGCCCAGACCCACACTCTCATAGAGACCCCACTCTTCCCTGAGATGATCAGGTACTACCACAGGAGGAGAGGGAGGGCAAACCAGGCAATGAGGCTGCCTCTCTCTCCACATGTCAACCAGCAAGCAGTTCTCGTTAGGGGTGACCATCTCTCATCCAGGGTTTTTCTGGGGGCAAACCCAGCTTCAGCCCTGGTATGATCTGCTTTCTCCTTAGGGACCGCAATCAGCATGACCTTCTTTTTCATGCTTCCTAATTCATGTGAAAATACAGGACCCATCACCTCCATCTCAGATGATTAAACCCCAAGGCACTGCCTTCTGGGAATTTCCACACACGCACACACAGGCACACACACACACACCCTGCCAAAGCCACACTCACAGATGGAGCAGACAATGGGAGGTACTAAGGTGGCACAGGGAAGGCAAAGACAGCAGCCCAGGTAGAATGAGGGGCTGGCAAATGCTTCCTATGGCAAAGGAGAGCCCACCATTACACACATACACCCCCACCTGCTTCCAGCAAACCCTCCTGGGAGGGCTGAGGGATGCCAATGGTACACCCAGGCAAATCATGCCAATCATCTCTGATGGGCATTTGCTGTCTGAAGAGGGCTTGCAGGGAGCTTGGCATCATCTATGAGAGGGCAAGGCTGTGGTCATGTTAGCTTTAAAAAGAAAAGAAGAAGAAGAAGAGGCAAATACAACTAGTATGCATGGTATAAACCCTTTTAGTAATGAAGTAATGGCATTAAGCCAGTATGACTGCAAACTGTTAGGAACAGCAGTTATCTTTACAGTGATGTCACCACAGGGGTGTCATTTCCTAAAATTGTGCATTTCTACAATGTCTGATTTTTTAAAATTGATCATTTATGTCACAGGGAAAGATAAATGGAAGAAGAATAAGGAAGACAGAATCAAATTAATTCCTGTCCAATGCAATGCACTTGTATTTTCTGACTTAATGCTTTTCTGTGTTTTTCCACTTTTCTACAAAGTATAAATTGCTTTTGTATATAAACAAAGAAAAAAGACACAACAAAAATGTTTAAAGACTTGTTGAGTAGTGCCTGGGGTCTTAAAAGCTTGGAAGCAGCCACCCCAAACCCAACAAATGATCTCGAGTAGTCTGGAGCAGCAGGGAAAGGAGACCCAGGAATCAGAGAAGGAAATGGACTGCAGCTCTAACTGCCTCCATGAACTACTACCTCTTTTGCCATAAGGCAGAAGTGGACAGAAATCCATTGCCATCAAGTCAATTCCAACTCATAGTGACCCTTTAGGACAGAGTAGAACTGTTCCATAGGGTTTCCAAGGCTATAAGTCTTTACTGAAGCAGATTGCTTCATCTTTCTCCTATGGAGCAGCTGGTGGGTTAGCAGTCAAATACTTTAAACACTGCATGCCCAGAGCTCCTTTTGAAGTGGGTGGGCTACCATTATGGAATGGTTTGATTAAGGACTCAATAACTGAATCCTGGTCAAAACGGGGAAAATGTTAAAAAGAATTTCAAATTTTTATGGACTCCAGACCTACTGGACCCATTGAGACTGGAAGAACCCCTAAATCTATTTCCCTGAGATAATCTTTAAACTTTGAACTGAAACTATTCCCTGAAGTCACCTTTAAACCAAACAAGAGTTTAACTTAACTAATAAAGAATGTTTGCCTCGAGCACTGTGCTCTTTTAAAGAATTATCTGTATGAGATCAAATAGATAATAGCAACTCTAAGGCACTGATGAGAAGTCTATGGGGCAGTGTGTCTAAAGTAATGGTGGTGAAATAATTTGAGAAGATACAGCAAGAATGACGACACAATGTGAAGAATGTAACCAAAGTCACTGAGTTATACATGTGGAAATTGCTGAATGGGTGTATTTTTGCTTATTTTTATGTTGTTGTTGTTATGTGCCGTCGAGTCAGACCCGACTCATAGTGACCCTTCCTTGGGTTGCCGAGGCAGTATCACTACAGAAGCAGATTGCCCACCCTTCCTTCTGAGGAGTGGCTGGTGGGTTTGAACCGCCAGCCTTCTGGTTAGCAGTCAACGTTTGAAGTTTGTGTAGCAGTCAGTGAGTGACCTTGGGGATGAGAAGAGACTTGAGAGGTCTCCTGTTGGAGATGGCCCTCTTATGGGTCAACCCCGAATTAACACCCTCCTTCAGCTGAGCCATGGCTGATCCTTAGTGTGCAGAGTGAATGGTCCCTAAAGCGTTTCACCACAATCCTCCATCCTCCCCACAGCCTGGCATCCACATACCAGTCCTATCCCCATCTTGTTGTTAGTTGCCACCAAGCTGGCTCCAATTCATGGTGATCCCATGTGCAACAGAATGAGACGTTGCCCAAGCCTGCACCATGTTCATGATGGTGAGTATGCTGGAATCCATTGCTGCAGCCACTGCATATTTTGAGTGTGGCACTGTGGTTAAGGCATTGGATAGCTAACCAAAAGACAGGCAGTTCAAACCCACCAGCCACTCCACAGGAGGAAGATGAGGCAATTTACTTCTGTAAAGATTTATAACTTGGAAACCCAATACAGGTCGCTATGAGTCAGAATTGACTCAATGGCAGTGGGTTTGGTTTGGTCCAACCTGGGGGGCTCACCTTCCAGCACTAAATTGAACAATATTATGCTGTAATCCATAGGAATTTCACTGATTAACTTTCAGAAGTATCACCAGGCCTTTCTTCCTAGTCTGTCTTAGTCTGGAAGCTCTGCTAAAACTTGTCCACCATGGGTGACCCTGTTGACATTTGAAATACGCATGGTATAGTTTCCAACATCATAGCAATACACAGGCCACCACAGGATGACAAAGTGACAGACAGGTACTGGATATCAATCTTACATAGACAAAAATGGAGGCTTTGGTGGGTTAGTTAGGAGCGGCAGGCTCCGGGGTGTTCAGGCAGAGAAGCTGGGGAGGGGTTAGATTTTGTGACCTTCTGATTCATCCCAGTGGTGCAAAGTCAGCACTCAAACTCAGAGAACCAGGCTCCTGGTCCACTGGTCTTGCACTAACACCTTGTTTTCCTCTCACCCCATCTCGTTCCTGCGCATCTCGGGTGCAGCCCTTACCCGATCCTCTGCTGCTCCATGACGTCAAGCCTCTCGGCCCTCTGGATGACCTGCAGGATGGTCTCCACCTCCCCCGGGTTGAGGCACTGGCTCTTCCTCTGCTTCTCGGTCTGGTAGGTATGCACGGACCAGCCTGTGTGCAGCCTTGAAACAGAACCACCCAGACAGCAGTGAGGGTCCCCAGGACTTGCCCTGGCAACCTTCCAACCAGCACATTCATACACTCCCCCAAGATGAGTCTGGGAACACTCAAGGAGACAGTTCTATAGCCCAGGTACTATGAGTTGGGGCCAAGTGTGCAGGCAACAGAGCTAGGGCAGACACCAGGCTCCAAGTGCCGGCTCTGCCACCCTCCAGCTACAGGGCCTTGGCAAAGATGGCAGCACCATCTTAGCACCTTGGGAGGGTAGGAACCTGGAATATGACTATTATACAAATGGAGAAGCCTAGTGCCACAGCATTGCTCCCAACGGTGGGAGGGGTGTGTGTGGAAGACCCTCAAGAAAAGAGTGAAAACTTAAATCTGTGTCATATAAGAAAGTGAGATG